ATCCCCAGACACGTTAACAGACTTTTCCAGTAGCTGTACTGGCCGCGACTGCATCCCAAGTCTTCAAGGAAAATCAAACATTAAACACAATTGCTTTTAAACCCGTAGTGTAGTTACAAATGTGCACTCACCAGAGGTGCCTTCTCTGGGTTCAGGGTCTGGGAACACGCCTTGGGAGGGCATTGGCTCCAGGGTGATGAAAAGGTCCTGGCTGCCAGGGAGAACGGATTCTCCGCTTGCCTGCTGTGCATTCTCCTCCTCCTCCTCTTCCTCATCCACAAAATCCTCCTCCCTGTTGCGTGAGACTCCCCCCTTGCAGGTGTCCACAGACAGTGGTGAGGTAGTGGTAGGGTCCCCCCCTAGAATGCCATGCAGCTGATCATATAAGTGGCATGTCTGGGGCTCTGACCCAGAGCGACCATTTGTCTCCTTTGTCTTTTGGTAGCTTGGTAGTTTGTCCTTGCCTGAGCTCCTTAACTTTCACATGGCACTGCTGTGTGTGCCTGTTGTAGCCTCTTTCCACCATGCCCTGTGCGATTTTGGCATATATGTTAACATTTCTTCTTTTTGATCAGAATTCGGCCAGCACAGATTCTTCTCCTCATACAGCAATCAGATCCAGTGTCTCCCATTCAGTCCATGCTGGAGCTCGTTTGCAATTCTGAGACTGCATGGTCACCTGTGCTGCTGAGCTCACCATGCTGACCAAACAGGAAATGAAATTCAAAATTTCCCGGGGGTTTTCCTGTGTACCTGGCTAGTGCATTGGAGTTGAAAGCGCTGTCCAGAGCGATCACATTGGAGCACTTTGGGATAGCTCCCAGAGGCCAATACCATTGAATTGCATCTGCACTACCCCAAATTCAACCTAGCAAGGTCGATTTTAGCGCTACTTCCCTCGTCGGAGAGGAATACAGCAGTCGATTTTCAGAGCCCTTTAGGTCGACGGACTGGGGTTGGATGTGTAGAGGCATTCCTTATAAAATCGACCTAACCTCGTAGTGTAGACCAGGGCTAACAGATTATTTGGGCATAAGCTTTCGTGGGTAAAAACCCACTTCTTCAGATGCAGTCAACTTCATATAAAGTGGGAATCCATCATTTACAGCAGAATGCCACAATCGTGTGCCTGCAGTTTTCCTTTGAAGGCCGCTGGGATTACTTAAACTCATTGCCGTAGGAATGCATAGTGATTCGGTATTGGCAGGAGAGCAACGTCAACAGAACAATTGTTACCATTCAAATAATGTCTCTGAGTTTTTTAAAATGACACACAAGATCTCTTCCCTAATGTGTTACTAATTTTTATTTGCCATTTGTCATGACTCATGTCATTCTGTCTTTCCCCCCATATTTGGTTTCGCTCCATTGTATAGAAGCACTAAGCTGGGGGTGTAGAGTGATTTAGGAAGGTAGGGCTGCTGCTGGCATTGTATTTTCTGTTTGGCTTAGGAAAAAAGGGCATGAAAACCAGATACATCATATAAATAATTGCTCCTAAAGAAATAGGGTACTATGGAAGTGTGGTGCCAGTAGTATATTTGGCCCAGCCATGACTGTACAATACCACAGTCCTTTTTGGACCACATGGATTCTACAAAAATCTGTGCAAGTTCATAACAAAGAAGTAGGCTGTAATTCAAGTTTACCAATCCGGAGTGTCCCTTTTTATATATATATATTTGATTTCCAAAATGTACTGTTTATTTTCTTGTAAAACGTATAGTGTTAGTTCAATATGATGCAGTTGCAAAACAGGCTAATATCATTCTGGGGTGTATTAACAGGAGTGTTGTATGTAAGACATGGGGGGGTAATTGTCCAATTTCACTTGGCATTTGGCACTCAGTTTGAGTATTGTGTCCAAGTCTGGGCACAATGCTTTAGAAAAGATGAGGACAAATTAGAGTCCAGAGGAGAGCAACGAAAAATGATAAAAGGTTTAGAAAACCTGAGCTATGAGGAAAAGTTAAAAAACCAAATGTGTTTAGTCTTAAGAAAAGAAGATTGAGGGGGGACCTGATAACTAGGGTCCTACCAAATTCACTGTCAATTTTGGTCAATTTCATGGTCATAGGATTTTAAAAATTGTAAATGTCATGATTTCAGCTATTTAAATCTGAAATTTCACAGTGTTGTAATTATAGGGGTCTTGACCCAAAAAGGAGTTGTGGGAGGGTTACAAGGTTATTGTAGGGGGGGTTGCAGTACTGCTACCCTGCCTTCAGAGCAGGGCTCCCGGCCAGCAGCTGCTGCTCTCCAGCTGCTCAGCTCTGAAGGCAGCGCCGCTGCCAGCAGCAGCGCCGAAGTAAGGCTGGCATGGTATGGTATTGCCACCCTTACTTCTGCGCTACTGCTGGTGGGGCGCCGCCTTCGGAGCTGGGTGCCTGGCCACTAGCCACCGCTCTCCAGCCGCCACTCTCCAGCCTCCCAGCTCTGAAGGCAGTGCAGAAGTAAGGGTGGCAATACTGCACTCCCCCTCCCACAAAATAACCTTGCGACCCTCCTGCAACTCCCTTTTGGGCCAGGACTCCCAATTTGGGAAATCCTGGTCTCTCCCGTGAAATCTGTATAATATAGGATAAAAGCACACAAGACCAGATTTCACAGGGGGAGACCAGATTTCATGGCTGGTGATGCGTTTTTCATGGCCGTGAGTTTGGTAGGCCCCTACTGATAACATTCTTCACATATATTAAAGGAGAACTGTGATCAATTGTTCTCCATGTTGACTAAAGGTAAGACAAGAAGTAATGGACTTAATCTGCAGCAAGGGAGATTTACACTAGATATTAGAAAAAGCTTTCTAAGTATAAGGGTAGTTTAAACTCTAGAAACAGCTTTGTAGGGAGGTTGAGGAATCTCCATCATTAGAGGTTTTTAAGAACAGGTTGTACAAACACCTGTCATGGATGGTCTAGGGTTACTTGGTCCTGCCTCAGTGCCGGGGCTGGACTCAATGACTTTTTGAGGTTCCTTCCAGCCCTACACTTCTTTGATTCTGTTTCTTTTTTGAATAAAAAGGGTGGCATGGATTCATATTTTTCCTTGTAGACATTCTGTTAAATTCATTTGCTGCCTGGAACTTAGAGGCAATATGATATATTTTTTTAATGATACAGCCCATCTTGGTCACTTTCATTTTCCACTTAAAGATACATAAATATATTCATGTGATTTGTTTGGAAATATATACTCAGCAATATATATACACTAAAATGCCTGAGTTGGCAAACTTCAAAGTTCTTTGACCACAGAGATACCAAGGCCATACCTACATTAGCGAGCTTACAGTGGCACAGCTGTACTGATGCAGCTGCACCATTGTGATATTGCTCATGTAGCCACTCTATGCCAACAGGAGAGAGCTCTCCTGTCAATATAATAAAACTACCACAACGAGTGGCAGTAGCTTTGCTGACAGGAGATGCTCTCCCACTGACATAGAGCTGTGCACATTACCACTTATGCCAGTGAAACTATGTCGCTCAGGGGGCTGGGTTGTTTTTTTTCCACACCCATGAGTGACACAAGTTTTGCTGACATAAGTGGTAGTGTAGACCTAAGACATAAGTGGTAGTGTAGTGTAGAATTACCTTATCTTACTGAAAGATAAGGTCATTCATTTGACTGTGACCCACACACTGAGCAGCACGATTTCAAAGTCAGAGTCAGTTTTGAAATTACCCCCTATAAAAAGCCATACTTCCAGGAGTGACATTGACTCTTAAGTCAACAATGACCAGCTGATACATGGTGGTAGGCATGGGAGTGATATTATAGAAGTGTTTTAGTATCTGCTACAGTGTCAGGTTTTTGTTATACAGTAAAAGCTTTTGTTATCCAGCATGTTGGGGAGACGGGGGGTGCGAGCTAGTTAAAAATTCCGGTTTACTAAAAGTTATACTTACCAATGGAATACCAATTTTCAAAGAACTAGAATACAATAAAATGAATAAAGTATAAAATAGTATACAGGTACTCACCAATCCAGTAGTAATACTGCACTGCAGAGTGGTTGGTTTCTTGAAGCACTTAGGTGAGTATACAGGTAAAGTTTTCTATAGGGTTATCTTATTACAGTACATATTACTATGGGCAGCGCATGGCATACACCCAGCTCACTAAAAATGCACTTAATACAAAAACTATACTGAACATAATTTAATCTTTCTTTGATGATTCAGAAGGCACACTTCAGGATCTTCCAGTGCCTCAGGGTCATCATTATCAACATCAATTATCATAGTAGATGTAGAAGGTGTAGGAGACTGGGCTGAATCTGTAATGACCATATGACCAGGAATGCTTGAACAATTTTTATAGTGGGAGTGCTGAGAGACATTGAATCAAATGTTAAGCCCTGTATATAATGGAAACCACTTCAAGCCAGGGGATGCTGCAGTTCCAGCACCTACGCCTATGACACACCCTGGAAGCGGCTTTTTTTAATAAATCCCCGATATCAGCTTGCTTGCTTGTCTTCTGCCTCTTTTGCATAAAAGTAGAGTGCAGAATGTGCAATTGCATAACCTCCTGGGCAGTATACTAGTCCCGGTTACTAGATTGAAGATTTGTATTGGGAGATATTAGAAATGCTGGTTAATGGAGCTTTCTGGTTGATAAAGTGCTGGATAACTCAGCTTTTACTGTATCTAGATTTTAAAAACTAAACAAGTTGCATGCAATCTTTACAATTCCCTATTATTTTAGTTAATTCATCCAGGGCCAAATTTTCTGTGCCTGATTCACACAAGTAGCTCCATTGATTTCACTGGGACAACTTTCATGAGTAAGGTAAGCAGGATTTGGCATCCAGATCAGTGTATCTGTGTGGCTGTTTACCTGACCTGCCCCCATCCTGTTCTCCACACCAGCCTATTTTACCTCCCAGGCTGCAGTTTGCAGGGGGGAGTCTGGAGGCTGCACTGTGTGACTGCTGGGCTTGCTGCTTTTGTGAAGTCCCAGGTTCTAAAAATAAGCCTATGTGTTTTATGCAGGAGAACCCCTTCAAGGAGAGGATTGTGGAGGCTTTCTCAGAGGATGGAGACGGGAACCTCAGCTTCAATGACTTCGTGGACATGTTTTCTGTGCTCAGTGAAATGGCTCCCAGAGAGCTCAAAGCAATCTATGCCTTTAAGATCTATGGTAATGTGTGGGGATGCTGTAGATAAATGGCTCCATTAATTCAGATTAACTGTCTACCTAGGAGAGATGTTCACTGTTAGTTCTGTGCTTAGCCAAAAAGCAAAATGGCTTAGTTTTGCAAGGTGCTGAGCATCATCATCATCATTTGCTGAGCCAATCAGCAAACATGCCCTTAACTTTAAAATCCCCGGAACTACTTATATTCTTGAAGTTAAGCACATGTAGGATCAAACCCTAGGAAGAGATGTTTTGGTATTAGAGATGACCTTAGTGTAATTCAGGGATCTTCCCCTCTAGATATACTGTATTATTTAGTCCACTGAAATGTCAAAAGATCTTGTGGTATGTCATTGTGACAACAGCAAAGATGGTAAATAAGATTGTTTCAGACTTCCAATATCAATTAAATTCTAGAAACCAGAAGACCATCGGAGAGCATGATGTTCACACAAAGATAGTATCTGAATTTTTCTCTTGCTTTTTTCTTCTGGCCTGTTTAGATTATCTTTGCACATCTGATGATTATCTGTACAAGTCCACAGCTGATCATTATGATGCTCCTACGCAATTCTCATTTTGTGTTTCTAATTTTAGACACATGGAAGAATGCTAAATGAAGCACTAATGGTTCTGAAAACGTGAATCAAATCTTTTTATATTAGCACTTAGGCAACATTTTGTAGAAAATATTCTTGTTGTGCATCTTTGCACAACAATTTCCTGGGAGAAATCCGCTTCATGTGCTTTCCAGGATGTTTGCAAAGCAGTAATAACAGAGCTCAGGCAACAAACTGCTAATTTCTATAATAATCAAAAGGTTGAAAGTTCTTTATTAGCTAGAGATTAGTGACTAGATCCTGGGGTCCAGCCGAAAAGGATTGAGCACAAGTGAAAAAAGGTAGATGCAAAGTTGGACAAGACAGCATATCTCCACTCCCCCGTCAGTACAAAATTACTGCCTCAGCTTGTTTTGTCTTTGAAATGGATCACACCTTTCCAAGTTCAAAGCAAGGTCTCCCCTCCTGGAATCTCACTTACTAAGAAGGTCTCCCCGCCTCTTTCCGGCTTCCGCCCCCTCCCCCGAGTGATGCTGGGAGCCAGCAGGGCGGGCAGAGCAGAGCAGGGTGGGCTGGGGCCAGGTCGCTCACTGCTGTCAGCGATAGGCCCCCTGCTAACTCCCCAGGCTGCCCTGGACCCTGCATCCTGCTGAAGCGCAGGGACCCCCAAATCACGGTAAGCCTAAACATTGGTGAAGCCGGGCCCACGTTCCTGAATATTGATGGAGCACGTGCACCACGGGCCCATATAATTCGCCACCTTTGCCTGTGTAGGGTTTCCTTAGTGAGAGCAGAGAGAGTCAACCACTTGGCTATAGCCCATCATAGAAAAGCAAGCAGGAACCAAACCTGCTATGTGTACATTTTCTTGCCAGATAACCTACTAAATCTTGAGGCATACAAGGCTGCAAATCTGACAGTTCCATCAGGCTTGGAATATTGCTACTCAGTGGACAATTAGGTTCTGAGTTCATGTGACCATGGAAGTGCTACATGGAGATTTATTGGCAACTTATTAGCTGTTTGTATGTTAGATGGAGCAGTACAATAATTTACTATTTCCCCCATCACTTCTGTGGTTGGTGTCTCAAAACATCAATGTTAGCAGAAACCCGGACTGAATGGTAACACTAAAAATAGCACTCTGCAGATAGAGTGCTTTGTTTTCAAAGCACTTTCTAAACCTTAATTGATCCTCCCAAGTATTTGTTATATGGATGGAGAAGCAGACTGCTGTGTTCTTGATAAGGCCTTGATTCTGTAAATTGCTCCATGCCATGATCTCCTCTGGAAGTTCACATATTGCAGGATCAGTCTACAAGTATGGATGTGATTACGTTGCCTGATAATGGTTGACCCACAGAGAATATAAGCTCTACTAAACAGATATACAGGCTGTCACTTGCCACAGAAACTGGGTCAGATGTCTTTGGGAGAATCCAGATGTTGACCAAGAGCTTTGGATTTGAGTTAGATGGAAATGCTCCATATTTGGTCAAGTACAGCATCTTCTGAATGCTGGCCTAGTGCCTGCTTGTACCGTACAGAATCAAGTCCTGTTGAAATAAATGGGAGTTACCTGTTGTGAGAGAAATTGGCCCCAAGTTTGCTGGGTTGAAGACAGACGTAAACATTTGTTTAAACTGTTTTCTTTTGTACCCATTTTGTTAGAGTAAATTAATCTGGAGAGAGGTATTGACAATCTTCTTTTCTTTCTTCCTATTCTTGTTTAGATTTTAACACAGATAATTTCATTTGTAAATCTGACCTTGAAAAAACCCTCAACAAACTGACACGAGAAGAGCTAACAGCAGAAGAAATCACTCTAGTTTGTGAGAAGGTGATAGAAGAAGCTGATATGGATGGTGATGGGAAACTAGCATTTGCAGACTTTGAAAATATGATTTCCAAAGCACCAGACTTTCTCAGGTATAAGAATTGCCTTAAAAACTATCAAATGTTCTTTTTTTACATGTTTTGTTGCAGTTGGAAAGATGATGGCCTTGCCAAATGTTGACATGCTGGAGTAACATTTGACAGGCTCTAAGGCTGAGTTACAGTTTACCCTCTTTTGATGACAGAAAAGCAGCAATGCTTAGGGTTTTTTATTTACACTTCTGCCCTGGTGTTCAGCCAAGGTGTCTGCACTTTCTCCAGGATCAATGCCTTGCCTATACTTGCCTTTTTATATTATTATTCATTATTATTATTTATTATTATTATTCTGGAAGATCTCCTAAAGTGTAGTGTAAACGGAAAGACACCCCGGGGCTCAGATCCTCAGTGGTATTTAGAAGCCTAACTCCTATTAATTTCAATGGGAGTTAGACTCACAAATACCTTTTGAGGATCTGAACCCAAGTCCTTCAGCTGCAAACTAGGGGATGACCTCTACCCAGAAATCCCTTACTTTACTGACTATTTGAAGACCAAGAACTCAATGAGTTTTGATTATCTTTGCATTTGATTTTCTTAGATATTTTCTTAGATGTTTTGCTCTTTTAAAAGCTCAAATGATACTGTCCTCAGGCAGGCCCACTGACAGCATTTCCAGGCCCCAGAACAGTCAATGGGCCTCCACGCACGCACAAGCCATGTCTGCGCAGATGCAGTCTGCCTGACATTTGGGCAGTGCTGCGCCTATGCTGCTGGTGCCCAGCGAGCTCTTCCAGCACAACCAGGGCTTCCATATGCCCGCTGCTCGGTAGGGTTGCCAACTGTCTAATCACGCAAACCCAAAGACTCTTGCCCCGCCCCTGTCCCACCCTTCTCCAAGGCCCCACCCCCTGCTCACTCCATCCCCGCTCTCTCTGTCACTCACTCTCCCCCACCCTCACTCACTTTCACCAGGCTGAGCCAGGAGGTTGGGGTGCGGGAGGGGGTTTAGGGTGCGGGCTCTGGGAGGGAGTTTGGATGCGGGTTGCAGGCTCTAGCTTGGGGGGTGGGTTGGGGTGCAGGAGGTGCCATTGTTGGCAGGGATGGCTGTACCACCTCACAAGGCAGCTGCATGAGGGGAATCCATGCCAATCCTTTGCTATGGGTTTCCGGCCCTGAGACTTCAAGCAGCTGAGCCCTGTAGCTGTCTTTCCTTTCCCAGACCTCTTCCTGTATATTTAGACTGGCCTCCTCCCTGGCTTGCTGCTTGCTCTTTAATGGTACACTCACTTCCAGCTCCGTTCTCCCTGAATGACCACTGTCCTATCTCCCAGCAGACCTGATTCCTAGTTACATGACCCTTGTGCTCTCTCATTCCTTCCAGCTGAGGAGGCAAGCTACACCTGCCACAGATGAGGCTGAATCCCCAATCCCCTTAAAGGGCCAGCTCACCCTGTGACACCTGTGTTCTGGGAATTTGTTCCATGAGATAATGTTAGAGACCCAAATGATGTAGACAAGTTCCTTCTTTGCATAATGGACCCCTGTGGAAACTCCTAGCCCAATTGCATTGCCATGAGTATTACTTAGGGGAACTTGGTCTTTCATTGTGCAGGACAGTTTTTGGTCATCATCTTTAGATCCTGAATGAGAGGGCAGACTGTTTCTAGATTTGTTTTTGTTGCTTATAGTTGTAGCCATTATAAGGAATTTAACTTAGCCATTATGTTCATAAATGGATACCAGTCCCTTCCAGTTCCTCTTGGAATTCTCTGCTAACAAGGAACTGGTAGTGCTACTGAAATGCCCAGATTTGTTCCAAATAACATGATCCATGGCACAGTAAAACAGTCACAGAAACACATTGCTGACCTGATGACATATTGTATAGAGGAATATGACAATGTTAATGTCCTGGAGATGATTGTTTCATTGTGAAATATGTGGAGTGTAGATCCAGACATACAGGCAAACCAGATTCCTACGCCAGCAACAGCCATATGCGAGATCACCATCCCTTCCTCTTGATGAATTTCAAAATAGCGCTGTATAGTAGACATCTCAGTACTTATTATAAAAAATTGTCGGCTGGAAGCAGCCCAAGTGGTATCTTCCATCATGAGTAGATGCCTAACTGTGAGAATCCCTAAATTCACTATTTTCTGGGGTTCCTCTGTAGTATGGCTGGCATCAAAGTTCCTACATTTAAGCACTTATCTGTTAAACTTGCTGATTAATCCAGTAGTGGTCTATGATCTTCATTGAACTGCTCCTCAGTAGGATGTGGCAGCAGAGGAGCAGAAACTTCATTCTGACCAGTACCACATGCCAATATCTGCTGCTCCACAGTCATGACTGTCATGAGCATCACTTTCTCTGGCTCTTTTTTACTTTTTTTCAATACTGCCACGATCAGCCATTAGCAGCTCTGTTGTCCAATCTGCTGTGGACTTTTCCTTTTTCTGGATTCTTTTTCACCACTTTCAGCACTGTCACAGTCGGGGAATTGGCAACTCCGTAACCCTGTCTGTCATGGCCCTTTTCTTGTTTACACATTCTGATGCCACATGAAACTGCTCAAAATGGCGTATCCATTTTGGCCGCACTGATTTATCAGCAGTTACAGCATCTGAAGTTGTTATGGGAGCCATTAGCTCCATTGTCTTTATTCTGCTTCAGACTCTATGTATGCTGCTTCTGTCCTTTAAGGTAGTTTGATCTGTCTCTCTGTCCCTGTAGAACTGCCCCCCCCCCCCTTTTCTGTTTCTAGTGCTCCATGCTGCAGCTCTCCATGGGCTCTCTCTAGGGCTCCATGCTGCAGAGTTTATTTTTCTGGGTTCTCCCTCTTTTTGCCCTTGTCACCTCTTCTCTATGCTGGAGCTTTTCCTGCTCTCACCGCCCTTCTTCAAGCCTTCTCTGCTCTCTCTCTGTTCAGCCCCAGCTTGCTCTGGGCCTGCTCCAGTATTGGCAGGTGAGGAACTCAGACTGTTCCCTCTCCCTGCAGAAGAGTTACACTGACCTTTCTCTTCCTTTCCTTTTTTGTTTTTGTTTTTTGTTTTTTTGCTCTCTCTCTCTCTCTGGAGGTGGATCTGTCACTGCTGGCACACCTAATGTGAGCCCAGAGACACGATACTGCAAGCCCTTTAGCAGAGAATAATCTCCTATCCAGAGGTCCCTCAATTTATTAACTTTTTTACAACATGCTGGTCCTCTCTGATAACAGGGGGACCATAAAACCTATGAGTAAAAGATATCTCCCTACTGGGCACCTGTATCTTCACCAGTGGAATCAACAGTGGGAGCACTAGCACAGGCAGAATACAGACATTTTGTCTAAATCCTGCTCTGAACACAATAGCCTTTAAAACGAAATGGAACTCGTTTGTTTACAGATGGGCTTGGGGTCTCTTCTCAGCATTGCTACGCCCACTGGGCCTGCAAAATGCTGTATTATCTGAAGAACATGCTCTGGGATCTGAAAGGGCAGTGCTTACTCTGATATCTCATGAGGAGATAAGGATGCCCAGCACCTAATGGAATTAAGCCCTCAACTTGTATTGATTTTTTAAATTATAGAACGGTAGAAAAAAGAATTAAACTGAAGACCATCCTCTTTCTGGTACAGAAATGGGAAATATGTAACAATGAGTTTTTCAGGGCTTGTTGGGGCTGGATTAATTATATTCATTGGCATAATTTATTGAATGTAAGTCATGATTAAGTCTGCGAGTCTGTCATGGAGGTCACGGAAGTCACAGGTTCCGTGACTTTCTGGGACCTCTGTGACTTCTGCAGCCTGCTGGTACCGCTAACCCCAGGACCACCCTAGCACCTTGGGAAGCCCTGGGGCCAGCCGCACCGGCTGCTGCTCTGGCAGCCCCAGGCAGCTGGTCCCTGGCAGCTGGTCCCTGGCACTGCCCTGGAGCAGCTCTCCGGGACCGGTGGCACTGGGACCCCGGACAGCCCCCTGCAAGGACCAGGGGGACCCCAGGCCGTCCTCTGCCTGGACCAGCAGTGGCGGGGTTGTGGGGCCCCAGGCCACCTCCCACCCAGACTAGTGGTAGCAGGTCTACAGGCCGACCCCGGACCAGACCGGCAGTGGCAGGGCCCCGGGCCACCCCTCCACTCCCCAGCAGCAGCAGAGCCCCGGGCCACCCAACCTCCAGTGGTAGCGGGGGGGGGGGGCCCTGGCTGTCCCCCGCCCCAGCAGAAGCATCATCCTGCGCTGGCCCCTCCCGCCCCCCCCTGCAGCAGTCTTCAGGAGTGCCCCCCTCACAGAAGGTAAGATTTAGTCACAGGTATTTTTAGTAAAAGTCATGGACAGGTCACGGGCCATGAGTTTTTGTTTATTGCCCATGACCTGTCCATAACTTTTACTAAAAATACATATGACTAAATCTTAGTCTTAGTCATGATTTATGAATATACATGAAAACATTGTGGTAATTTGTCCTCATGAAATTAAAGCCAGAGACTATAGCAATTGTATAATTCATACTGGTAATACAGAACCAATTAAAATAATTAAATACTGCAATCTTTTCTGGATCTGCAGTTAGTTTTATTTTTGGCGATTGATTTTCTTTTGTTTTCTAAATGCTACTTGGGCCTATTACTGAGCAAGAAAGATGCCCTCTAAGCAAAGAAGGGAAAGTTGAGCTTAATACCAGAATCAAAATCAATTATTTAGCTCACACATACCAATTTTTCCAATATTGGACTTCTGGAAACCGTGCATGTTTTCCCTTGCACATTTCGTATTTAAAGGAACCTTGTGAAAAGGCAGAGCTTCCACTTGTACACACACCTCTACTCCAATATAACACTGTCCTTGGGAGCCAAAAAATCTTACTGTGTTATAGGTGAAACCGCGTTATATCAAACTTGCTTTGATCAGCCGGAGTGCGCAGCCCCCCCCCCGAGCACTGCTTTACTGCATTATATCCGAATTCGTGTTATATCGGGTCGCGTTATATCGGGGTAGAGGTATATTAATAAAATACTCTACATAGCCCTTCCGCCTATCATGGTACCTAGATACTACAGTCATAACC